ATCTTCCGCGGATTATTCCAGCCGCGAGGATCCCGGCCGCAATTATGCGGCCAGTCGAACGCATTAATTTCACAGCCGTACGCGAATGTACGCGGAGAGGATTGGAGAAAAATCTCGCGGGGTAGTACCCACTACCACTCGGGCCCGATGAGTATATTCATCGTGGAGGAACTTCTGGGAGTCGAAGCAACCGGGAACCTCTCGCGTCTATCTTTAGGCATCTCTGGAACGATGGAAGGCCGAGTCGCTCCGTCATGGAATCTCTCGCTAAACTCCCCAGGAATCTGAAATATCCGATGCTCCAGCGGAGCAAAAAAATCGTCTACCCGAGACGATTCGTTCTCGTTTCGCGTCGTTCGGCACCGTAAGATCGCCTGAGAAATTTTTCGACGTCTCGACGAGGCGCGGCCGTAGACATCGGTCTGGCAATTAGTCCACCGTGTAGCCTGAAATCGCGAAGATTAGACTTCCTTTACGGACATGTCTGAGACGAACAGCAGACTCTCGTTGCTCGATCAGGGATAACTCGTTACCGTTTCGCGTCCAGTTGGACGATAGGACGGGGCGATAGACCGGATCCACGCGACGTGGTATCGATCCGATTTCCCTTATCGCTGTCAGCAGGACGGAGAGGCAACCGAGTCAAGAATGGCTCGCGTGGATGCGTTACATCAGCTCGAACGAGTCATTCAAAAGGGGGGCAAGGAACGCGAGGTCTGGGTGGCGAGTTGGCTTTTCTCGCAGTCGAATGTTAACTCGACCAAGACAGAAATTACAGGCTTGCCGGGCCATTACAACCCCGCGGCAACCACCGACGTCTCGTCGAACCTGCCTTCTTCCCGTTCCTCGTCCTCTTCTTACCCTATCGCGCCAGCGCGCAAACGCATTCCGCTTCGCGGTGAAACGAATCGTCGAACTGCCGTGTTATTCTCTCGTTTAAGCATTCACGTGATCGTAACCAATTTGTTCTCGAAAAGTGGCTAGAGTAGGCGAGAGAGAAGGAGCGGAAAAAGGAATCGTGACCTGGCCGGTGTACCGCGAGGGACAGAGAGAGAGAAAGAGGTACTTGATGCACCGTGGTCGCGTTATTGAATCAATCAGCGCGAAGTTCGCGGATCGAGGCGCGTTAAATTTTGCGCCCGATGAAGAGACCGGCGAATAATTCGAACGTTCGCGAATGGCGGGTTGCATATGCCACGCGGTGCAGGTAGCCGATGAAACGAGCCGATAGACCGGTAATTACGCGGAGAATTACAAGAGCGCCTAACAAGTACACGGAAAGAGAGAGTGTACGTGAGTTAGCGTGGTTCACTTGGTCGCGGTACCGGGCTAATGACTCGAGCTTTCATCTTCCCTGATGGAAACGTTACCGTTGGCTAAAACGAAAGCGTCGTAAATTACTTGGTCGGTTTATTAACTCGCCCTCCCGTACCGTTTCTCCTCGAGGACGATGCTCGAGGATTTTCAAAATCGACGAGGAATCGGAACGGATCGTTGCGGTATCGGCAACGCGTTTCGGATGGTGATCTAGCGCGACGGAAGGAGGGGCGTTGTTCGATATCCCATGGAGACCCCATCGGGTCGGGCCGAGCCGGCCAACCCAAAGCGAATAACCCGCAAACGCTGATCCGGCTGATGATCATGGAGATTAATCTCGGTTCACCGCAAGACGCCAGCGTTGCTGTTCCTTTTCATTTTTCATTCCATCGGTGCGACGACGTTGCCCCGCGTGTCTCTCCTTCCGTCTCTCCTCCTCTCTCTCTCTCTCTCTCTCTCTCTCTCTCTCGCGTATGTTAGACTCGTATGCACACGCACGTGCTCGCGCTTCGCCGATTGCGCGCGGTCTTTCTACCTCCACCTTCTCGGCTGGCTTCTTCCACCTCCGGTTACTCGTTCTTTTCTCTACCATTCCCTCTTCTTTTTCATCTTCGCCTCGCCTCGCCCCTTAGGGTCGTGCTCTCTTCTCCGCCGCTTGCTGCCCGACGCTTGCTCTTCCGCGTTCTTCTAACCTGCCAATCGTGCGCTTTCGACGAATACGTACAACGGTAATGGACTACCGATCGGCACACGGCCGGCCGGTCATCTTCCTGCTGCTAAGCGGAATCGTAATCGCGAGTGGAGCCTTTTTGCCGGACTGTTGCTCGTCCGCCGAGTTCAAGCGGAGAATAATGGCCGCTGCCGTGGATGGCCGAACGTTTACGTTCGGTTATTGTTACTCGCTTACTCTATAGGTGTGCACCTTGTCTTTTTGCCGCGGACACTGCCATTGACGCTTTGGCCAGGTGCTGACGTTGCCGTTTCACCGCGCCAACCTTCAGCCATTCCATGGCTTTTTATTAACAATTCAATGGGTACTAAAGCGACCGATCGTGCTATTAGAAATATCGCGATACTTTACCGGTGACACTGCACGGTTAGGCTGTATAATCGCCGGTATAGATCACGGGCTGTGAAATCACGCGATCGCGGGGAAAAAATTTAATACGAAACGGAACTTGATTATACCGTTCGTTAAAGCCATCGTCACCTCCCATCGATGACACTTTGCGTTCTCGCGTAACTCGCGCAACTTGCAGAGCGGAAAATTCCGCCGATTTATTCTGGCCCTCGAGTTCCGATATCCTCGAGAGCCACCCCCTCGTTGCGTTGTACCGTTCAATCTCGCGATTTCATGCTTCGTTAGAATTAGAGGCCCGCCGCCATCTTGAAATCGCCGGTCTGCATCGTAGCTTAAAAGTTGGAATTTTCGCATAACTCGGTAATCACTGGCATAAATTGCAGAGCGTGAAATCGCGTGATGCAAAATCACAGAGACGTTGCGTTACTAATTTACCTTGAACCCTAAGTTATTTCAGCCCCAGGTACCGTTACCTTGTCCTGCGATTTCATTGCGATTTTATTTCAATCTTATTTCAATTTTATTGCCACTTTATCGCATTCACGTGCATCGTATCGTCGGGATATGTAATCGGGATAGTGCAATCCTGGCACCCCGGAGCCTCTGATTCGTCCCGTACCCCGAAAGTTGAGAACATTGGTCCCCGATTGCCGAATTTTCCACTCCCCATCGGGTCTATTGACCCACTCCCACTTTCGTACACGAGCACGCGGGATTTTTTCAAACAATGAGTTTCATTGAGGAAACAGCCCGTTCGTTCCGAGCACCGTACGTCGTCCCAGCGTGTTTTTATTCCTCTGAAGATCCACGCAGATACAGCTAATAACGCGACCAGTGGCTCGAGATTCGAGGGAATCGTGTGAATAGAGCTTTGTTCCGGATAGCGTTACAGATCACTCGAGACAGATATTCGTACTAATGAAAATCAGTTAACGAGCCTGTCGAGTCGGAACGTCTTCGGGGTGCCCCTAGATCGATAAGTATACGGTAGAGACGCTAGCCAAGCGACGTTCCCTCCATTCTCGTCTCGCGATTTTCTCTCTTACCTCTCTCCCCCCTAAAGACACGCATGACACTTGGCTCACGTGCACGGACAACTTGGTAAAAAGACTGGTCGGGAGAATAATTTTACAACGAGGGAAACGCCTGGCTGGCATATTAATTTTACGCGCATCGCGTGACGTACGTGCTCTCGAAGTTTTCTCCCGGGCCTAGTTAAAGCAAGGGAGAGGAATATTTAATTACTCGTTTTGCCTATGCCTTCTGTCAACTTCGTTTTCTCGTCGAGCGCTCGTTGTTCCAGGTCCCTTTATTATCGATCGCCTCGGTTAGGGTTGTTAAAGGATCGTTCGCCGATTCGTTAGGGAGACGTCAGGATTTATTGAATAATACATGAGCGGTCACGTTGGATTTATGCGAAATTACACGAGGAAAATCGCGGTGACATCATATACGTGCCGTGACAGAAAAATTCCAGTCTCACGCGATCCCCGCGTACCGTTCTCGGCGATAGATCATCGTTTCTTCCTCGAGTACCCGTCGAAAGAGCCTCGCGAGAGTTGAACTTGGCAGTTTTTCACGTGATCGGAGCAGTGGTGGAAATTAACAGGCAACAGGTCGACGAAAGAGGCCAGATACTGTTAGCGGAATGGAAGGCACGTCTCTGGACGCTATGCTCGGGGCGTGGGTTTAGAGAGAGGGAAAAAACACGAGCAGTGAATAATTAGGCGAGGTGTACCCCCGCGTGAAGCGGGTAATTAAGAGGAAAAGGTGATTTATCGTTGGCGAAGCCGCACAGAACGCGACAAGGGGGCAACTCGTGGTGTCTCGGCGGTTTAAGAACCGAGTTGGAGTGTGTTGGTTACAGAGCTGCAGCACTCCCATGGAACATTCACGCACGTCGGTCGCCGTTTTTGTCCGGACGCTTCTCCGCTCGTAAAATTTCAAGTCGTCTCGTTGGCAGAGTCGTCACTTTTACGGTCAATGAAATTTTTCTTTTGCTCCGTTTTTCCACGGACGTTACAGCGGGTCTAATTTACGATCTGCCAGGTGGCTTCTGGGGCTAGTTTCGTTCTTTCCACTAGCTCTCGCGCGCGCGCGCGCGTCAGAGGAAGCGTTTCCACTGATAGACGAGGTCATGGCTGCCCGGCTGCTTTTTCCCCCCCTTTTTCTTTAAATGTGACGCGACTTGCCACCCGTGATGGATTGTCTTTTCAGCTGGCACCAACGAGGGAGATCCATCCCGGGATCTCGTCGTCTTTGATACACCCCTTGCCTGCGCCGAGTGACTGGCGAACAGTACCGGAACTGTCGGTAGATACCAGCGAGTCTTCCGCTCGCGAGGCTTTTAATCGGCCGCGTGTAATTACGGTGTAATTCGCGAGAGAGAGAGAGAGAGAGAGAGAGAGGGAGAGGGAGCGATGCCTATGACGTTCCGTTTTATTGCGTTTTTATTGACAACGGTGGGACGGTGAAGCTCGTACGTTTGCAAATTACGCCCGTAAATCGCGAAAGTTACGTACCCTGCTTTTTGCCGAATAACATGAATATTTATGACAGGGTTAATTTAAAATTATGATCCTGCCTTTTTTCTCGCTTTCAGATCACTGACCTGTACGCCGCTGCTGCTGCTGCTCCTGTCAGCCACCGTGGTCGTGATCGCGTCCGCCGAACAACCGGTGTCCAACTTCGAGACCGTCCACACGAGTAACGCGGCGATTTTGAATCGACTCGGTCTCGCGCCGCTCCAGATTCCCGATGGTCACCATAAGAAACGTCTGGCGGGTCCAGAGCCGCCTGGACTGAGCTCTCAGACTAGGATTCATCAGCCGTACAGCCGTCGACACGGTCACCGCGATAGCCACGTATACATCGTCAAGCTGCCGGCCAGTCCACCCTACTACACCATCACCAAGCCGCACAAATCCGTGAAAGACGAGAAGGTAACCAAGACCGGGCCGAATTTTCCCGTAGGATTTCAAGGAAACGGGAAACCGGCCAAGATCTACCACTGGAATCTGCCCGTCGTAAAGAAGATCACGGAGAAGAAGAGACTGCACACCCAGCTGAAGATGGAGCAAGCCAAGAAGAAGATGGACACCACGAAAAAGTTCCAGAGTTCGTCGACGAAGAACTCGATGGAGGGTGGTCATCAGCAGGGTAGCTCGAAGACCAGCCAGGACCCGGCTCGTCAGGAGAACAAGAAGTTCTTGGATAACGGTAAAATGGCGGTGCGTCAAGGCAGTCCCTCGAAGCACGTGAGGAACAACGACAAGAGGCTGAGCTATCCGGAGCACGAGGACAAGAAGGGTGAATCGGCGAAGAAGGGCAACAACGGTAACGCGAGCAACAAGACGTACAGGCTGGATGATTCAGGCGTGCATAGGATTCACTTGACGAACGATCTTCACGGCTCGAGAAACACGGCGAAGGTGAAGAAACACCGGAAGAAGGCAGCCATGTCGTACTACGCGCCAATCACCGGCAAGTCTGGCTCCACGAGCATCCACAAGAACTTCCCCGGAAACGGCAAGCCCAAGGCGTTCTACGTGATGGAGAAAAGTCGCAAGCCCGTTTACTATCATCCCTTATTACCTTAATCCGCGAAGATGTGTGTAATCACGTGACGTGTTAACGGCCCGTGAGCTTGTTAACTTTGAGCAGTCGCGACAGCGCGCGACGTCGCCGTGAAACAAGAGCAAGGGCCGTCGTTTCGTACGACGACGACGACGACGACGAAATTTTTCAAAGGGACATGGGCTTAGAACGAACGTAATGCGTGCGTGTTGCAGAGAGATTGAGAGGGAGAGAAAGAGACACTGTACGATCTTCGGATGGATGAGTCGTCCTTGCTCGAGGCCACGCGTATCCTGCAAAAACCGTTCCACTTCTGTTACAGTTGTTAGAAGTATTAGATTAGGTTTCCGAGACTTTCTTTGGAAAGGTGGACTTAAATTTAGGATAGTTTAAGGTGAATTTTGCAAACGCCTGCGACTGAGTTACGATGGCACGCTCAGAAGATAGTTTAAGTGAGGGGAAGGGAGGCGATCGTCGGCGATTCTTCGCCCTCTGCTTTTTAAGGGCGGCGCACCGAGGATCGCCTCCTGTTGCTACGTTTAACTTGTATAATATATTTTTATAAGTTCAACAGATACTTTTCTATATCGTACGTCGATGTGTGCCGTTTTTTCACGGGAAGAAAAACCGTCATGCGCGATTGTTTCATGGGGGACCGGGGATATTGCGCCGACCGGCGGAAGATCGACGTCCCATGGAGCAATCGGTCACGAGCGAATTTTTACGAAAGACTGGACAATATATATATATGTATATATATATATATATATTACTCCTCTCGACGGGATGCACATGCCTTTTCTACTACGTATAGCCGCGCAAGGATTTTTTACTGGTTCTTCTCTTTTACTAATGAATTGCAGAAGCGCGAGAGCAGCAGACATTTTTTATATTCTTATATCGTATGTTATAGGAGGAAGCTCAATTGTATCGAACCATGGCATTCAGTGTAGTGTAATAAAAGTATTTATAGTACTTTGTACAAGTTGGCTGCAAGTGTGTGTGTACCCGTTAAAAAAGAAGAAAGGAATATCGCTGGAGGATAGTACTCGCGTTGCCTGTTCGATTTAACGAGCCAACCTTTGTCCCTGGCTCCGAATGAGCAACGCTCTTAACCCGTTACAGCGCATTTGCGATAGTATCGAGCACCAGCCAACCCTTTGCCCCCATGGGCCACATTTTTCGGTAATTGACCATCTAACTCCGAAATCACCTACAGTGGTCTATCTTCCTTCGTCCCTTTCACGCAACCTTCCACTCCTCACCTGCTTCCTCCAGCCCTTTGGCCAAAGCGTGTCTGTCATTCTTGACAGAGCGAACTGCTCTCACGTGTTCCGATTTGAAAAATTACCCGGCCGTTGGCAAAAAATCCGTCTTTCCATGCGTGACAGCGTATCGTGCGATTGGAAACGCGTCCAAACGATGGAACACAAACGCGTTCGAGCGCGAGAGAATCGTGGAAGCGTATTCCGCTTCCTCTTGACACGCGACGCGTAAATGGGAAATTTATCTGGAAATTGTAATCCGAGAGAAGAAAAACGCGACCTGCCGGCGATTATCGTCACTGGAATCGCCGGCCTCGATCGCCGGCTTGCATCGAAATTCCATTTGAAGCAGGATTTCGCCGGATGTCTGGCGACGGCCGCAATCGCGATCTTTGAATTCAATCTCTTTGAGCGAGTAACATAGATCGCGGCGGTACTCCCGTAACCAGGCAGGATATAATCCCGTGCAGACTCGCGAGTCCCAAGTCAATATTTGTGTTACGCGAGGGGGGTTGAGGGACGAGCATATGAAACACGTTTTCTCGTGGACGGAGTCAGGAAATGACTGGTATGGATTAGGGAAAAAACATGAACGTTTTTCGCTCTCTCGGAGAAAGAAGCTGGAAGGCGAGTATCGATTCGAGTTTTCCTATATTTTTCACGTATTTACAAGGTAAAAACGGAGGGATCGGCGATAGAAGAATCGGGACAAGTGGGAAATATAAATACGACTTTACAAATAAATATATGCGGTTAAGTACGGTTATGCTACCACTGAAATGCTTCGCAATCGTGGACCTGGCTCGAGTATGAAACAGCGAGTAATTAAATATTATATTACGTTACTAGCGCTTGAGCAAATACTCGGTCGTAATTTCTTTTGCATAATTAGGCTGGCTATATATATAATTATATATACGCACTTTTAAATTAATTATAAATAGACGTATAAATATTGGTAGTCTATAAATAGATGCTATACACTTACAAGTAATAATTACACATCCACTCGATATCGAGTCTCCGTCGCGATTAGCCATAGATACACGTCTTAATTATACCGGGTAATTCTGTGCGAACGCAGCGGACTAACGCGAAATGGAAATCGTTTGAAGGTATTCGAACGAGAAATTCCACGGTCGTTACTTTGGTGTTCCCATTACGTCGTTTTACCTTCCGCTCCTCTAATCGATCACCCGTCGTGTACCGTACGAGATATTTTTCACTTTCCTTTTTTTCCCATCCACTTGGCGCGGAAAAAAGGCGTGGAACTCGAAAATAGCGTAGAAAAAGAGCGGGGAAAAAAGAAAAGATGGAATCCGTACGAAGGAGATCGCATTAGCCACGCCAAACGACGTCCATCATCGGCGCGATGAAACTTTTTAACAGTCCGTCCCGGGGAACGGTCCCGTCGGTTCCCTTATAATCATACGAGTAATAACCCATACTCTTAGATGTAAATGCAACGCGATATAAATCACTGGTCAGCCGGCGTTACTTCTATATCAAGGCCGTAAATAAGAACGCGATTCGTTGTACGAATACGCGCGAGATCTCTAAGCTCGCACGGTTATTTGCTAAGCAATCGGGCATCCGGACTCGAGTTCGAGGTACCCGCTCGTTCGCCTCGTAACGCGATTACGCTGCGAGAGTTGGAAACGAGAATCGCGAGTCGAGGTACGCGCATCGGGTCAGACCTCTGTCATCGTCAGCCGTTCATTCCAATCCGCCGTCATCCCGCGATCGAGGCAGATTTTTAGAATTTTTAGGATTCGCGGGGTACCTCGTGCTTCGTTACGCGTTTCGGTAGCAACGAGCCTATCGCTTCTCTCCCCTGTCTTGCTCAATAGTAGGAATTATCCTGGCCGTAGTCGGGGTACCGAAGACTCTGACGAGAGGCGGCTGTACCGTCGGGTTTTTTTTAGCAGGAAGAAACTGGTAGGCTTGCCATTGAAGGTGTACGGACCCTTGTCCAGGTTGTTGACCAAATCGTCCGGCTTCTTGGCCGGTTTCAGATTGCTCTGCCACTGATAAACCGTGGTCGGTTTGCCGTTGCTCACGAATTCGGCTGACAAACTGTCGAGATTCGTGATCGGGCTGTCGGTCGGTTTCTTGCTCGTCTTCTTCTGCCATTGGTACACCGACGTCGGTTTCCCGTTGCTCACGAAATCGATGGGCAGCTTGATGAACGGGTTAACGGGCTGCTGGAACGACGGTTTCGGCCTTCCAGGCTTCGCGAACGGGACGTGAGGTCGTCGAAGGCTGGAGGTGGAGTAAGTGGGCGGCTGAGAGATGTAGCCTAAACCCGGGACGAACATGTACGGCGTGGGCGGCAGCCTGATGTAGAAGATGTTGCTTTCCTGGAAGTTGTCCGCGTCGGTCACCGTTTCATCCTCGTTGTCGAAGTTGTTATTACCGTAGTCGACGTCGTACGGAACGTCGGGGTACGGGAGCTGCTGCACGATCGGGTAATTGACGAAAATGGCTTTATGCCTTCGATTCTTCTTGGCCACTTTGTCTCTGCCTTCGTTGGACTGCTTCAACGACCGCAGAACGTCAGGCTTGCCTTCCGCTCGATTATTATCCTGGCTCGGAATCGAGGCTAGCCACGAGGATTTCGACTCTTTCGTTCCACTGTCAGTCTTCTCTGATTGCTTTTTTGCCGGCTGATTCGTCGCGTCCTTGCCGGTGACAATCCCGGTTTCCGTGGAAACTGGAAGCGCGTCCTTGTTCCGCGGGAACAATCGAGCGTTCAGGGTGTCTTGGAGCGGCACCGCCACGCCGGATGCCACTGCGTAGACCAATAAAGCCAGCGAGATCTTCATGATGACTGGAAAAAACCAAACGATTTCATTGTTTTCACCTTGAACAACAAACACCACGGACTGGGAGAAAATACGCGATCGGAAAGCGGGTGAAAAAAAGAAAAGCAAACGATTTCCACGCCTCCGATTGAAGTTGCTGCTCGAGGGGAAGGGAAAAATCGTGCGAAAGAGCTCTAGCGTGTACGATCCTCGTCGTCGAACGTGTTCGATCGACCCGACTCAGCCGTTCGTATTACCCACCCATCGACGTTGCATTAACCATTCAACGGGAACGAGCAAAGTCGCTTATAATCCGGCTTATAAGCACTTGTACCGCGCAAACCATCGCCGAGCGGAGAATCAGATTAAGTTATTAGCCGTGGAAGAAGAGACTCCGCGACATCCCCATTCGCGGAATATCCCCATTCGTGGATGCATCGACATCCTCGGGCCTCCGGCGAATCGAAGTCGAATCCGATGGAGACGCGTTATCACCGGAATTAAACCGACCGACTCGTCCGTCTCGCCGGCTAATGCGACAGCCGGCTGACATTAAGCATGCAAAACGCGATCTCGTTGGAAGATACTCTGGACGTGAGCGTGTCATCGGCGAACGAGCCGAAACAAATCGTCGGCTCGTCTCCGGTTGAACGTGCCCGAGGACAACTCGTTTTCTCGGCGAGCCTACTAGACCTCTCTTCGAGGTCCATCGACGTCGGCAGACGGCTCTTCCTCCTCCGTTCAACGTCTCGGGCAACACCGGCTGTTCCCCGTAACCGACATCGAATAAATCACGCGTCCCCGTGGCGGCATAAGCGAAAACGGAGAAAACGACGAGTCCACGGTGTACACGCGGTGAATGGAAGAGCGAGGAGGGAGGAAACAGGGGACAAATTCCGCGCGGCATTTAGACGGAGCGCGTACATTCCGCGCGTCAAGCTTTCTTCTCGCGGCGCAACCGCAGCCGCGAACCAGAGGGAGAACAAGAGCACCAGGAATGGTAATTGAAAGCGGGTTATAAAATCGTCGAGTCACGCATTCCTGACCAGAGAGAGCTCCTCCTCGAAGACCTTGCAGAAGGTCGTGCACGGAGGGTGGTGGAGGGCAAAGGGAGGGTTAAAGGTAGGGTGTAAGGAGGGTGGAGGTGGGTAAGGAGGATGGCCGAGGAGGGATCCATTCAGAGCGGATTTCGTAATAACCCGTGTTACCCGTTGAACTCTTCTCGCCGTCACACCGTCGACGACGATCGGTTAGTGGTTTTGCTAATTGTTAATTGCCGTGATTCGTTACAGAGATGGTCTTGATTTAGCACGCAATTCGCTGCTTGAATCGCCGCTAATTGCGAGAGAAACGTGCGGCAGGTTCTCCGCGGAGCACAGGGCCGCTATTTCTTACCGATGACTCGCGAAATATTCTCGAGTAGCGTGTTTATTATTTCGCGGTGTTGAATCACCGGCATTTTCGATCCAGGTATACAGGTTTTCTACGTGAGCGTGTAATCGAGGTACCAGGGGTTGGTTAATGGTCTCGCGTTGAAACCTTTTGCTCTTTCTCCCTGGTGTTTCAATCTCGAACGGATGTCGGGCCAATTGATTCCTATTTTCCACCTTCCGACACGCTCGAGTAATTAAAATCGAGATCCAACCACGTGGAAAGAACTTTATAACCCATATACACGCGTGTGTACATATATAGCCGAGCGTGGGTATATATACGCTTTGATATAGCACGATATAATACAAGGTAATACAATTTTCTCGAGGACTTTCCGACCCAAACGAGTTTAATCAAGGCGAGACTGATCGATTTAAAGCATAATGGCACCCCGTCATGGTCGCGATTAAATACCGGTTGATTGTTACGCGATACCTCGTTATTACCAGCGTCGGGTTCCTTTTGCCTGAATCGACCGCTGTCAGTAAGGTAAACCGACTACCTTTCCGCCGGCGGATGATGCAGACCGGCTACAGGGACCTGTGTTATCCACCAGTGGTCTTGTTTTACCCGTCCTCGCGTCCATTTTGACAAGACGCTCTATCTGACTTGCATCGGGCCGCGAAGGTTTTGCATAAAATTTCAATTCGTCATTTCCGCAGAAACACCCTGACCGCCGCCATTTTTCTCTTTTACGCGCCGAGATATCCGTGTGACATCAGCAGTTTTCAAAGCGCCGCCAACAGCACGCAGGAATCTTCGATTTCTTGCTTCTCCTTCTTTTGTACCGCCGTCACGATCCTCTTACCCTTCGAAAACGATGCTTGCACGCCGCATAGCCGATACTCCAGGCGTCTTTAAGGATTTTCGTCGATCATCGATAAAGATTACGAACCCGAGGACAGGTCGAGTCGCCTCGACGCGAACCTGTCCCGGTATCAAAGACTCGCTTTTGAGCATCTCGACGGCCGCCCCGGTTCCCCGTGCTCGTTTTTCATCGCCGCCATCTTGAGCCGCGGACACACCGTTATTTTGCCGAAATGAAACGCCCGGTACGCATATGCGCGTATCTTTTTACGGGCATCTTTGTCAGCAATGACACGGTGAACCGTGCTCGTGACGAGAAAGACGAGACGAGAATCGAGAGTCCTCGGATGCCCGACGAGAACGTTCATGGGATGAAGGTTCCACGGCGAGGCGTTCAGATCGCACCTTCGTCACGTGTCATTAGGACTCCTCTTCTTCCGTTAGCTCCTGGTGTTATCTGAATTCCTCTGGAATTCTTTGACACGTCGAAACGGCGCGTTCACGCTTCGCCCGATTGGTCGAAGAATTTACAAAGCCATATCGCGTCCGTCTTTCCGTGGGACTTATCCAACGGTCAATCGCGAAATCATCGTCGCCTGTCACAATTAGCGATTTTCTTTTCGACTCTTCGGGTTCTTCTTTTATCCTTTCTATTTCTCTTTCGTCTTGACGACAAAGGCAAATTATCGGCACCGTTTGGTAGCCGGAACGGTGGTACCATTTCCGTGAATTCGATCAAAGTACACCGTACCCACTGTGCACGTGCCCAGGATTTTGACCCAGCCGGGACAAGTTCTCCCGTATAGTCGGAAGAAATGATGGAATTACCAAAGGTAATACGCCATGTGTAAAGTCACCGTTCGAAGCGGGGATAAAAGACGCGTTATCGGTAGGAAATGGGCTGAGATTATACGGGAGACGCGCAGTTTTATCGACTTTGTCGTGCCATTACGCCGTGTCGGGCAATTAATTTACAACGCGAAAGATGATTTGGCATTCCCGATGGCCGTCGTACTTTCTTTACCAACCCGAGGCTCGCCTCGAGCCGACGGGTATTTTCGTTGCCTTTTTCTATCCTTACTTTCTCGCGGTACCCCTCAATTTCCTAGGACGAGGAGAGAGTAATAGCAGAGTAATGACGATCCGATCGCATTGTTAACCCGAATAATTGCATGTTAATCGCAGCAACGATCTTTGGAGCGGAAACCAGGCCATTTTTTCCTGGATTTCGACAGGCTAACTCAAGTATAAGTACGCTCGTCCGGTCAGAATCTCGCGCGATGGCCACCGGACAACGAGAGTTTTCTCTTCCACGGGTATTCACTGACAACCCGTCTACGTGACTCGGAGCTCATTACCGAATGAAGCGGACGTGGAAACCGGCGTGTGTGTACTTCGAACTTCGTTCCGCGATCGGACGTCGAAGCTTTGGAGAAGGCGATACTTAAGCTTTAACGGGTTTTCGAGAGAATCCATAAATTCGTATCGTATGCGTTTCTGGTCTCGCGGTAGTTGCTCGTTCCTGTTTCGGTTTGATCCTCATCCGGTATGAATTTTCGCGTAATTTGCCTGGATCTTAATTAGGCTTCGACGTGCAACGGTAGATAATTGCGGCAAATCATTTTCAACGAACAACCTGGGCGTATTTCCGACTCGGTCAGCCACTGCTGGCTCTTTCCTGCTTCTCGGGATGACGTCTGTAAGATCTTCAGTCTCTGGAATCGCAGATGTCGACGTCGAAAATTAATCGAGCCCGTTGGATCTCTCGCGCAAGAGCTGTTCAGCTGAACCAAGAACGACCCGCATTGTGGTCCATGGTTCTCGTCTCTGTTCGCTCATGCGTCTCTAATTAGCCAATTTAACGCTACTGGCTACGATACGGAATAGCGTAAATATTCGCGCAGCACACGCGTCAAGGCTTCGGCAGAGCAGAATTTTCATACTCTGATTCGTTCGGCGACCGGGCTAATGCGAACACGTGTTGCAACAAAGCTCACTGTGCGACTGCTTGCAAACGAGCTTGTTACGCGTGTTCCTCCGTAACTGCCATCCTCTTGTACCCGACACGGGCCGCCATTCCTCTTCCACGGCGCAACCAGCCAAATAATCTATACCGGCTGAAATCCCGGCGAGAATATTACACCGTTGTGTATTACGGTATTTTGTTTGTTCCTGCTAATGGCTCCGTTTCGTAACACGAAATACTGTAATTATTTATTAACGAATTATACCATTGGTTGGTTTGTAAGGCTAATTCGAGGGTAACGCGGATAACTATACCTGTCCTGTTATAAGCTTGATTGTTGAAAAGCCTGTGGCCGTTTCGTTACACGATCGAGTTACCGGAACGCGAGAATTTTTTACTCTCTTGTCTGTACGGTTTTAGCCTCCGGGATGAGACGAACAACGAAAGTTACGAGCCACGGTACGAGAGCCCGAAGAGACGAGGAGTATCGCGCTAGCGGGACTCCAAGTGCCCGTGGTAGACAGGCTAAACGATAATTCAAGTATCGCCGATTTCAGCATCATCGAAGGACGCACGTGGCTCCTCTAACGAGCGAGTTTTGCTAGACTTTCTCATAATTGCACCGGCAGTCACGAAGGCTGCAGGTGGTTCTCGCGAGATCCCAATCATGTGAGTCAAGGTATTCTGACTTTACACAATGCCCCTACCCCATGTTCGCTACACGCAACACCGGATTCCGGATTTCTGACACGCGGTCTAATTTCCTAACTGTACCCGATTGTTCTTCTCGGAATGCGATTCTTCGTCCCGTGAT